AAAGTTAACTTTGCTCCCCGATTCTGCAATTTAATGAAGAAGTGTCATTCGGACATGGTTAATGAAATACTTTATCACACCTCAATCCAGAAACTGGAGGAAAGTTACGAGAGTGAGAGACGTAAGCTTTTTAAGTTCATAGATCTCAAGTCTAGATTAAGCAAGGATCTAGGCAGGGTTCTCACTTCGAATGATTTTCAAAAACTTCAGAGCATGACGGAGCAGAAGTCATAGAATGTCTGGGATTTGATGAACACGTGGCTTATTTATGGGACAATAAGATAACACAAGACCAAGCCAACATGGGCAAATTTTGATCAATCTGTATTTAGGGCTTCAACTGCTACAAACGGCGATAGGGCAATGCTATGTAAAAATTCAATTAAAATGTCAGCTAAACTCATATCATTTGTGGGAAAATTTTACTTCTACCAGTCCTTCATCACCTTAAACGAAATTGGGTGAATGCATCTTATCACATTTAAATAAGCAAGTAAAAATTATAATAGTGAAAGCGTGATACGAGGATATAGGATTGGTGATTAGCCCAGGAGGCAAGGAGAAATACCATGACTGTCAAAGGATCGGCTTCACTTGTCTCTTTGACGAGTTGTAGTGTGATGTAGTGATGATGCCGGCGATACGTCTGGGAATGTAGCACTTCCATGGTTCGACTTTGAACATTATCATGCCTACAATGGACTCCGGACTAGATTCGTTCCTCTAGGTCTTTTTAATAATATAATTAATTCGCGAAAAATAGGTCAAATTACTTCGAACCTTACTCATTTTCAAGCATGTAGAGTAAGGTTTAAGTGGATAGCCAAAACATGAGAGGTCTCATTAAGATCGCAATGGTAGGTGTATCATAAAAAGCGACTAAGGGCTGCAGCCGGCCACCTTCTTTTCTTGGTTTAGTATATTTTTGCTCCATTTCGTAAAGTTTGGAATCTTGCTTTGATGATGTCTGTCACGGCGGTACAAACGAAACCTTGGCACAGTTTCATCGTGGTCTCAGGACGGTTAGCCGAGGACTTCTGCGCACAATTCAACAGTCTTCCTTACGCGACATTCTTCCTTTGTTTTCCAATCAGACCACATCACGCATTCCTTCCAACCTACTTTTCCTTCAGAATGGAGAACTATGCCACAATATTTCGCTAAGAAGATCTTCAAAACCCAGTTTTTCTTCATAAAATAAAACCATACTATATTATTGTTACATTTTGGGTCCCAAACATCTGTATGATATTATCTGGCACTCTCTCAAAGGTCACGGATACTTGTCACTTTCCTTTATTTCAAAGAGGAAAACCTATATCTCGCTGCTATTGCGTACTCAATTCCGACTTAGACGACTTACATTGTATGATCATTGTGGTGAGCACTCTGTGGGAAAATGCCGCCAAAACTTGTCGCCAGAATGCGGCTTCAAGACGTCGTGCTGTGCCTATTCGACCTTCTGAGAGAACCAGGCTCTCAGGCCGACCCGAATCTTTGCTTCCCAGACCTGCGCCAGTTCTTTGGTGCTCAGGCGTCGCCATGTTTGTCACTAAGCCGTTTGGGCTGCCACTGGCGGTTGTTGCTGTGGCAGTCGCTGTCGCTGTAGTCACCGAGGTCGTGGTTGCCGTACTTCGCCGTCTAATCTGGGTCCTGCCATCGCCGTTCGTTTCGAGCTCCATGATATGATATTGCCGGGTCTGGCTATCTTGAGAGGTCTCATCACTACTCTGGTCGTTGCAAGAGGACGTCTTTCTATCTTCATTTGCCTGACTTGAATCACTTTCGCTTTCATTGCTGCTGTCCCCGGAATGACCATGCCATTCCTGTGCAACGAAGGCCGCCAAAGTCCTACTGCCCTTGCTGGCAGGAGTGAGGTCGACATCACTGACTTCTGGCTCCATACGCAAGTAGCTGTCCTCGATCACGATCAAGTCATTATCACCCTCTGAAAAAGAAGGATAAAAGAAAGGGAAATGAGAGAATTGTATCTAATTAAATATAAGAATGCAATAATTCACAATTAGTGCTTTATGAAACTGCTTTAAAAAAGCATAGGGACACTCTACATAGTAATCTTATTTTAATAAGCATTTCAGGTTGTCAAGACCCTATTATAGATACTAAAAGAAAGTTAGTTTCAATGAATCTCCTGAGATAACATTGTTAGGGGGACCTTCGTTTCAAATGAAAGTGCATGAAGAAGAGATTCGTTGGTTGATCTCACCAGATGAGGACGGAAGAAACTCGTTGTACTGCAGCCGTTTGGCTTTTATACGATATTCATCTTGACGCAGTCCACAAGACTTCCTCCCTCGTTTCGGGTGAAAACGTGCTGAGCTTTCGTCCATCATATGA